CAGGCTGAAGTGGGAACAGATAGAAGAACAGCTAAGGGAAGAGAGGCCGATGGTATACGGTTTTGTAGAAACACATCTCAGGGACATGGAACAACCTCCGAACAATCCAGACTACGCGTGGGAATATTGTAATAGAGTAGAAGGCAGCAGAAAGGGGGGTGGTATCGGGGCACTCATTCATAAAAGTACAAACTTGCAAAGGGTCAAACAGGAGTGGAAGGAACATTTATGGCTAAAAAGGAAAGTGGCAGGTCAAATGACACTCCTTGGTTTCGTGTACTTGTGGACGGGAGCAAAGGCCAGAGAGGAAAACCAGACAGTGGTAGAGTGTATATCAAAAGACATTCAGGAGTTACGAAGAGAGTGCGAGATAATTATACTAGCAGACATGAATGCGCACATAGAAGATATAGATGGGTATACCAGCCCGACAGGCAAAATGGTCATAAATATGTGTGAAAGGCTTGATTTGATCATTTGCAACAGTACCGAGAAGTGTGAACGGCAAATAACATGGGAGGTAGGAAGGCTTCAGTCGATGATAGATTATGCACTGATGTCAAATAGGATGTATGATAAGCTCAGGGGAATGCACATAGATGAAAGTGGCTCCAGAAGTCTGGGTAGCGATCACAAACGTATCAAGCTAAGTTTTGGAAGAGCAGTGAAAGTGGGAAGGAGACAAGATGAGCAACTACAGGAAAATTTTTATCCAGAAAGGCAAATCGAAATAGCCACTAAACAAATTGAGAAAGTAATCACGGAGGATAATAAGACAGTGTGGACATACACGAATATAATTAGACTCTTTGAGCTAGAGCTTGCTAAGACTCGTGACAAGTCACCCCGGAAAAGAAGACGCAAACCCGAAAGTTCGTTGGATGAAGAAGTTAAGAGAGCCATAGCAAAACGCCAGGAAGCCTCTAGGGAACACAGACATGCTAAGCAGCGGGGTGAACCGACAGATGATGTTGAAAGAAAATAGGCAACCTTTTTAAGCTGTAGAAGGAATACATCCCTTCTGATCAATGAAAAGATTAGAAGGAAGGGAGCTCAGTGGCTGGCAGAAGTACATAAAAAAGATAGAAAGGCAGCTGCGAAATTTTGGAACCATCTAAACTCCCTAAGAAATGAGACGAGCCTAGAGCAGAGTTCTATAACTACAGCCCAAGGTGCTAGGCTAGAAGGGGACGAAGCTATTGAATATATAAGAACAAGGGTGACAGAAAAATTTCAACAAAGGAGTACTTTATACACCACAATACACAAGGACGAATCAAGTGGTGCAATGGCTCCATTTTCACAACAAGAGTGGGAAAGGGCTGAGAAAATGGTTCCTAGTAGTACATCAACAGGCCCAGATGGCATTCCGATTAGGCTGCTAAAGACATTAGGTCCGAAGTCTAAGCAGGCTTTGAGAGAGGCAGTGAGCACAATAATAATCGATGGTGAAGTTCCCGATGGATGGAAACTTAGCAGGATGAGCAAGATCTATAAAGGAAAGGGGGACAAAGCTGACATAAACAACTACCGGCCTATAACAGTGACATCAGTGGTCTACAGGCTGGCGATGCAGATTATAAACGAAAGACTGCAGGCGTGGATAGAGGATGAGGGGGTGCTGGGGGAACTGCAGAATGGGTTTCGGAAACACAGGAGGTTGGAAGACAATCTGTTCTCACTGACGCAGTGCATCGAAATAGCAGAAAAGGAACACAGGCCCCTGTGGCTAGCATTTTTGGATATCAAGGGGGCGTACGATAGCGTGGTTCAAGAGGAATTGTGGGGAATACTGGACAAACTAAGCGTTGAACATGTAGTCACTAATCTTTTAAAGGGTATCTATAAAGGTAACAAGGTAGTTATAAAGTGAGAAAAACAGGTATCCAAGCCTGCAGAGGTAAAACGGGGGCTTAGGCAGGGGTGCCCCCTGTCACCCTTATTATTCATGATGTACCTACAAGGATTAGAGGCAAAATTAGAGGGAAGTGAACTGGGCTTCAACCTCTCTTTAGTCAAACAAGGAAAACTTATTGATCAGGCACTACCAGCAATAATGTACGCAGATGATATAGTGGTAATGGCCAACAACAAGGAAGATTTGCAGAGATTGATGGACATCTGCGGTAATGAGGGAGATATGTTAGATTTTAGATTCAGTAAGAAAAAATCAGCAGTCATGACTTTCAATGACAACGAAGGTAGTGAGCTTAGAATACAAGAGGTCACGCTAGAGATAACAGATAAATACAAATATCTGGGCGTATGGATAAGCAATGGGACCGAGTACCTGAGGGAACACGAAATATACGTGACGACTAAAGATAACAGGAATGCAGCAGTCATGAAAAATAGGGCACTGTGGAATTACAATAGGTATGATGTTGTGAGAGGAATATGGAAAGGGGTCATGGTTCCTGGGCTGACGTTCGGCAATGCGGTCTTGTGCATGAGATCAGAAGTTCAAGCAAGATTAGAAATTAAGCAACGTGGAATAGGTAGGCTTGCTTTAGGAGCTCACGGGAATACACCAGATCAGGGAGTTCGAGGTGATATGGGATGGACATCATTTGTGGGCAGGGAAGCTAGCAGCAAAATAAAATTTGAGAAGCGATTGAGAGAAATGGGGGAAGAGTGTTGGGCTAGGAAGGTTTTCAGCTACTTGTACATGAAGAATGTCGATACAAAATGGAGGAAGCGAACCAGGAAGTTGACTGGTAAATACTTAGAAAACAGCAGGTGGCCAAACCAAAAAGAAGTTTTTCAAAGCACTGGGGTTTAGGGACCGGGAGGGCAAAATAAACTATAAGCGGGTAGACTTAACTAGAAGGAGGTTATCTGATTGGTGGCTAAAGTCAAGGCACGAGTGAAAATTAAACTCTTCACTGCAAAGTACGAATCCTCAAACTCACTTTTTAAGGAAAAAAAATAAATATAGTTTTTGGTTCATTAGGTATTACGGCTTGGTGGCACTAGCCACCGCCCGATCTAAAGGGTACAGCCATATCCATCCATCCATCCATCCATGCTGAGAGCTGGTTGGGAGAGGAAGGTATCATCGCTGAGGCGACCCGTTTTGTGCCCGCCCGCGACACACTTGCCAATTCTAGTACACTGTACGGCGACGGGTGGTACCAGCTGAGCGTTTTTCATCTGCGATTCCTAGGGGCACGTCAGTCGAAAGTTGTTCGAGACCTGCAACTGTGCATCCCTGTTTCGGAGGCTATGCAAAGTGTTGCGTTGTTGCACCGTCCGCCACAAGTGACGCTAGCGACCGAGAACATTTTCAAAATGAAGGAAGGAAAGAGTGTGGCAGCTGTTTTTTTTTCTCATGCGGCAGGCATCTTCCTAGAGGAGGCGTTGCTTTAACACGGTCGAAGGCGCCCGCTGCCATGGCCTCTAATGTATTGCGAGCTATTCAATCACCTTGCAGCGACCGAAACTCGGTATATACTATTTGCAACCTTCGTTTGTATAATATTTTATGCGTTTTATACTGAAATCTCTTTGTTACATTTCCAACAGTGTTGTCGGGCTCTTTTGGAAGCTTGTAAATGGTTGGAAAGTGGAAACCAAAACTGTCACACCAAAATCGGCATATTGGCATACTGAGCTTCAAATATAAGGTGGGGTATGACTTTGAGACTACGCATTTTGGAAAAAAACCACACCTTATATTCGAATAAATACGGTACTCAGGCTATGTATTGGAGATGATTGTGCATATTTCGCAAACTTCCTTGTAAAAGCTCATGGTTCACTTCATCGGGTTTTCTTAAGTTATCAAGAAAAATAGCTCCCCAAGAATGGTCTAAAATTAAATGCACAGTTTGTCAAGGGGCAATTTGAGCTTAGCAAGAAAATGATTTATGAAAACCATTCTGTCCCAGAACCAAGATCAAAGTGGTTTCAAAAAACATGTTGACTTGAGATGATGGCACATATTCAAGCATCTTACAAAGGCTGCTTGTTGTTATAATGTGGCTGTAATTGGACAAATACCTGTCATCAGGTGTGGAGATATATCGCATCTCTGATCATCGAGTTTTTAAAGAATGGGTTTTACGATGATGCTAAAAAAATTTTTGAAGGGGTGAGCAATAGAGAGCATTACTTTATTAAAGTCTCTAATTTTATTAGGTTAGCACTGAGGCTTGCAGGTATCTTAAATGAGCATGGTCACATGAGTAACATCTCAGAGGTCAATAATTTTTGGGTTGACAGCAAGGTATGCATGAAACAGGATTATACGAATTGCAGAAGTAGAAGTAATGAAGTTGTTGAGAAGACTTTGTAAACAGTACATTTACAGGTTTCATGCAGAATTTGCTTTTTAGCAGGGTGAATTTACTTTTGCTGATGCTTCCGATGGCATCATTGCACTTCATAAGCGCTGGTTTTATGCACTGCACTTGACGATCTTGTTTTTTCAAAGTTCATGTACTGATTAAAAAGTATAGGATCAAGAATTTTACATGCTTTCTTAAGGCTTAATCAGGCTCACCATAGAGGTAAGTGGTGGCATTTTAGTAAGTTATATGTGGGAGGTCTGTGTACATAACATCATAGTAATCTTGCAATGCTGAAGCTTTATTTGTGTAACGAGTGAAGCTTCTTTTCCTGTAAAAAAATTCTGCCAAGCAAACAAGTTCCAACAGCAGGATTGGCCCTTGGGTAAAGCAGGTGGTAAGAGTGCGCTTATTCACAAGCCCTTCAAGAGTACCCACTGAAGGAACTAGTACCTGTAACAGACCAGACTATCTGCTATCAGCATTCGCCCTAGGCGATATTGTCTCCTCCTCCTCTCCACCGTTTCGTGCACTTTACTTTCCTTCCTTTGCTTTCTTTCCCCCTTCCCCGCTGTGAGCGCGGCTACTTAAGCCCAGCATATAAACGGCCAGGGGTCATTCGTCATGGCGAGGCCCAGCCAAGTGTTCATCGTCGTCTTGTCTCTGAGTTAAACGTTACATGGTGTCAGAAGGGGGATTCTGACGTTCGGAATGGACCTCGTCAAGCCCCCGGAACCGCTGCAACTGTCCGGCAACATCTGGAAAAACTGGCTGGTATTCAAGCAGAAGCTGCAGCTGTTCATCACCGCTACGGGACCGGAGAAGCCCCGCCCATCGGCCGTAAAAGCAGCGATTCTTCTGAGCACCGCGGGGGACGAGGCGCTCGATGTCTACAACAACTTCTCGTTTGCCGCAAGTGAGAGCAGAGAAGATTATGACACGTTAGTGCAGAAATTTGAAGAATATTGTGTCGACCAGGGTAATGAAGTCTACGAAAGGCACATTTTTTGACTGCGAAAACAGGAAGAGACCGAGCCTTTCGAGCGGTTCCTACGGGACTTAAAAAAGCAAGCAAAGCTGTGCAACTTCGGTACGCTTGAAGAGTCCATGATCAGGGATCAAGTGGTGTTTTGGACAAATAATGCGAAACTTCGAGAAAAGTTGCTGAGTGACAAAGACTTAAACTTGCAGAAAGCAGAAGAAATTTTCAAAGCCGCTGAGCTTGCTGCCATTCAGAGCGCAGCATGGTCAAATGAAAGCCTGCACGTTGACGTTACACGCCGAACACACCGCACGAAGTTTGTGAATGGAACTCGGTGTCAAAATTGTAACAAGGTACATGCCCCCGAGCGGTGCCCGGCGTATGGAAAAACTTGTTATGCATGCAAGAAACGAAATCACTTCGCCGCATGCTGCAACAATGCGCGGAGGATAAGCGAGGTTCACAAAGCCGAAGAAAGCGATGAAAATTTTGACATCTTGGGCATCAGCATTTGCGGCGTCACCGGAGATATAGGAGCGGATTGGATGGTTCGCGGAAAAATAGCCGGTCAGGAGATACAATTCAAGGTAGATACCGGGTCTCAGGCAAATTTGCTGCCCCTAACCCTGTTCAATCGAATCGCCCACGTAAGCACTCCGCGAAAGAGCGCCGCTGTCCTCGCCGCCTACAACGGCAGTACAATCAAACACGTTGGCGTGGCGACCGAAGATCTCGAGATAAACGAAGCACAGCATTCGGTCTCGTTCTTTATCGTGAAAAGGGGGCGCCAAGCCATCCTTGGCTTAAAGACATGCCAGCAGTTTGGTCTGGTACCGGTGACAACGGACGCCGTGAAGGTAGACGATGAGCAAACGAAATTCCAGCTTGCATTTCCTGACCTCTTCAGCGGCACCGGCTGCGTCAGGCGAGCCTACAAAATGGTGCTACGAGAGGATGCCGTTCCAGTCGTGCAGCCTGCCCGCAGAGTACCCATAGCGTTGAAAGGACGCCTGCGACAAGAACTGCAACGAATAGAAAAGGCCTCAATTATCGTCAAGGTGGATGAACCAACTGACTGGGTGAACCCCCTGGTAGTTGTGCACAAGAAGGATGGTACCCTTCGCATTTGCATGGACCCTAGAGCAGTGAACAGGAGCATTAAGCGGGAGCACTATCCTATGCCTTCACGAGAGGACATAGAGAGCGAGCTGGCAGGAGCACAATACTTCTCCCAGCTCAACGCTAATGCCGGCTTTCATCAGATTCCTTTAGATGAGGCCACTTCACGAATATGCACTTTTGCGACACCATTTGGGCGGTACCGTTTTTTGCGTCTGCCTTTCGGAATTTCCTCAGCCAGCGAGGTGTTCCAGAAGACTCTAACAGAGATGTTCGAAGGGCTGCCGGGAGTGCGCGTCTACGTAGACGACGTTTTAATATGGGGCGACTCAAAGGAAGAACACGACGAACGCGTCATCGCAGTACTAAGGCGGGCGCAAGAGGAAGGGCTGACATTTAATCCAGCTAAATGCGTGTTCTGCACCACGCAGGTTGCATTCCTTGGAGACGTTATCGAAAGAGACGGAATTCGTCCTGACCCCGATGTAATCGAAAGCATCCGTGCCATGCCAGCCCCAAAAGATAAACAGGGTGTGCGCAGATTACTCGGGGTTGTGAACTACTTTCGGAAATACCTGCCAGCTTTGAGCGACAAAACGGCGTTGCTGCGTAGCCTGGTGAAAGAAGCGTCGGTGTTTGAGTGGACAACAGCGACAGTCTTCCTAAGGCAGGCCACTACCACCCTTGGAAGCCGGAAATGTGGTCCGGATGAAACATGGAAGCTGGTCACGCCGAGCGAAAGTGGTACAAGAGACTGCACCACGATCATACGTGGTAAGAACGGAAGACCATGGGCTCCTTAAACGGAAGCGACAACACTTGCTGCGAACGGACGAAAACTTCAACGGCGAGGTCAGCCCTGAGTAATCCGAACCCCGATGCGAGGCCCCCGACGAAGTTCAGTGATGGACACCGAGGCAACACCACGCCGGACGACCCAGGATAGCCAGGCGCAACCAGCTCAGCCAGAGGAAGATTATAACGCCACCATTTCTCCAGACACTCCAGGAAGCCCACTGGCTGGCCTGCGCAGGTCAGGACGCCAGCGCAGCGAACCGAAGCGCCTTCACTACGGGCCATCCTTCCATCAAGTAAATGAGTGCAAAAGAAATCAGTGTTTTGAAAATGTGGGAAGAGAAGATGTAACAAACCGGACTATCTGCTATCAGCATTCGCCCTAGGCGATATTGTCTCTTCCTCCTCTCCACCGTTTCGTGCGCTTTACTTTCCTTCCTTTGCTTTCTTTCCCCCTTCCCCGCTGTGAGCGCGGCTACTTAAGCCCAGCAAATAAACGGCCAGGGGTCATTCGTCATGGCGAGGCCCAGCCAAGTGTTCATCGTCGTCTTGTCTCTGAGTTAAACGTTACAGTACCTATAGGGCTAAAATTCCAGTGCACCAAAAAGGACAATGAAGGACGGTGCAGGTTAAGATTTCTGGAGGGCATCTTCTGGACATCATCCTTCTCTAGCCACAAGCTTGTATGGCCGATGTTTAGCAGACTCCTACTAACATAAACTAGGAAAAAATGTTATTTCTCTATTGCAAGATGACACACCATATACCTTTTGAGAGCCTCCTCACCACAAGCCCTTACATTAGCCTAAAAATATTTTTTCTACGGTGCCCTTTTTTTGTCCTAAACAGTTGTCTCAAGCAACAATATGCTCGTTGTGACAGTCTAGCTGGTGACCACAGAGATGGCTCCAGCCATCACGATGTATAGTTCACTCAAAATGTAAGACACTGCAAAATCATAGTCCGGTGTGCGTGCATAGGACCTTGAACATGTAAGCAGTGACCACTTCTCTTGTGTTCTCTGCACTGGCGCATGCTTGTCGTACACCTTTTCAAGATTGTGACAGTGAAACTAGTTTTGGCAATACTGTCTCAGAGGTAAGACTGTGTACACCCCCAGGAACACCATGGTGGAGCGAGTAGAGGTTCATATCAAATGTAGTAATAAACTGGCAACACCATGGTGTCATAAGCACACTTGCATTAATTTATTACATTAATTTATTGAGGCAGACATCGCACCGCTAAGCCTAATTGTGATCTCTTTTCGTTAGTGTCTTCATATATTTCCTGTTGGTCACAGCACAGGAAGAACAATTTCTTTGTGGAAGCACCATATTTGAAGCTTGTATGACTCCAATGAAGATTGTGCGAACAGATATATTGAAGAAGTAAATACGTCGTGTCCTATAAATGGTGAACTGGTTGTCACATTCAGCCGGTGATCCTGCAGGAGCTCTAGCATACACTCTAAGGTCATTTTGCATCAACAATGCCACATGCAATAGTTTAACAATAGTTGTTAATGGGCAAGATGGTGCATAGCTTCAGGGAGGTAATTAAGCTAATGGGGAAAATTCTAGATGCCTAAGCACCACAGAAAAAAATAAAAAAGCACTAAAATTTCCGCTCGCAGCTTGTTCTTTTCATTGACTAAAGCATTCCTTATCTTTCATGTTGGTACATGCACTATTTTGATGTATGTTCCTTCTACATATCACATACCATATCTGACTTTTCAAGCACAGCATTTCTCACATCGGTAAATTTGTGCATATTTGTCGTGGCCACAATTTCGGCTTGGCTTGAAGGCCTTTTAGTTAGGTGCTTATGTTAGAACTGCCATCACAAGGGGTTTGCCGGGCTATGTCTTGCCTTTTATAATAACATTAACCATCTTGCCCATTAACAATAGTTGTTAATGGGCAAGATGGTGCATAGCTTCAGGGAGGTAATTAAGCTAAGGGGGAAAATTCTAGATGCCTAAGCACAACAGCAAAAATAAAAAAGGACTGGGAAAGAGCGTCACTTGCAGCTGAACTACAGAAAATATTTACACTGCACCACACATTCGCATCGTCTAGAATTTCCCCTAATAATGTTATACCAACCTGCCCAGCAACAAGTACTCCTGAGGTAATAAAGTGCAGAATGACACTTGCATAAGACAGGAAACACAGGAGGCGAGTTAACTGCCATCTATTTTTGTTTGTGGCTTTGGTAGAAAATATATAAGGAAACAGACACATGTGCAGAGTGACAGTGTGCAAAGTCACAGTCATCAAAAACATCACATAACATTGTTTGCTCGAGAAACTTTCCTAGTTTTAAAAGTTTCAACAAATGTTTCACTAATAAATACGCTACTTCTTTACCACCTTGAACTGCTTTTAACAGCTCAGGTCTATCAGGACTGCTTCCTGTAATCTTTGTCTGCTATCTATTATGAACTGACATGCCCTAATACTTGCGCAACAATCAGCCAGATTTGTCTATTTATCCTTAACAGCCTGTGAGTCCACGTGTAACAACACCCGCTCCACCCTTCCAGTGGTTAAAGTCCATACGGGTCATTATATCATTCAATTAGCTGCGCAACTATACTTTCATTTATTCATTCACTTCATCTTTCTTAGAGCGAAGCTGGTTGCTTTGCTCTAGGAGCAAGTGTTATACTTGTACACTTCTGTAGATTTTTCTTAACACTTCTGTAGATTTTAAGGGCTTCATGTTTTTGCCAGATACTCAATTTCTACTTTTAAAATTGCTAGGAGTCCTTATCATAACTGCAAAGAAAGATACAGCCAGTATTTGATGTATTTGTTTTTATATTGCAACGGAAATATTACATCAACTTGGAAATAGCAATGAAACATTCTGTATTAAAATTTATTTCAAATTCATTTTGCTGCACAACATGTGTACCAAACAGTGGCCGACAATCATTGGGTGTACTTGCACCACGCTCTGCCATAACGAAGCACATGCATGAAGCCTAAGAGACACGAGCTCATGCATGCAGGTGCAATTTTATGAAGTCGTCCCTTGAAAATTCCTTGGTAATTTTGAATACTTGGCTGGGCAGACGTCTGTTATATTATTCTAGAATGCCCAGGCTGACTACAAAGTGAGCAATGCTAATAATGTTCTTGGCTTGTGCCACAAATTTTTTACCACACATTCTTTAAAAATATTTCCTAACACTATTGTTGTACAACCGAACAAGAATATGTACATGCTCTTTAGCATACTGTTATTCACAAACTAAATGCCAGTTCATTAAAACTCAAGATAATTAAACATTCGTATTCCATAATTACCATCAAACTACAGGTGAGTTACCACAACAGGCAATCTTGCACTGATGTCATTATGTTTTCATTATGAATTTACTAATTTACGTGCTTGCTTCTTTTCAACAGAGTATGTATATTATTATACAAGACACCACAACTAACTCATTTATCACCTTCAGTATTTTATCACTTTTAATCAACCATCATAATGAAAAGTCTTGAAACAAGTCACTTTTAAGACCCACAAGTTTTCTTGTGCCCTTACAGTGAGTGCATCGAAGGCCCTGAAGTGTCAAACAGGCCAAAAGGCATATGTAAGGCTTGTTCATAGGCATTGGAAAAATCTGTTTACGAAACGTGTTAAAGGCACATGCACGCACATTTTTCGGTTTGGTTGTACGTTAACAATAAGAAAGGAAGGAGTGGTGCGACATTTCTGGCACAAGCCAAGCATGTGGTTAGCATTGCTAACTTTATAGTTAGTACTGGACTTTCAGATTGATTCCACCCTACTTTTATTTAGCAATATATCTATAACATGTGGTACAAATAGTCTGTGTTAGTAACTTCACAAATGACAACACCATTATCAGCAAATCATGAAGGAATTTAGATGATAGCAAGGAAGGGGCATCGGCAGTTAAAATGAGAAATAAGCTGGGCTTAGCTGAGCACAAAGTGAGTTCAATTTCATGCGAAGCATTCAAAGTACTAAACTTTGTTCGGGCTAAGGTCCAGATGACTTAATTTTAAAGTAAATATTTATGACTGACCTTGTCAAATGTGTTAGAAAATTCCAAAAAAATTCAACCTATGAATCACTGCATCAAGAGAATGGCACAATTTATGAGTAAATAAGTGGAGTCTAACTTTGAAGCGTATTTTTAAATCTATACTGCGTAGTGTAGTATGAAATGTAGGGCGATGTAGATGTACTGAACTGCTGAATAGTAAGCTTTGTTAGAATATAATAATAGTAGTGGTATTACAACATATGTGCAAGATAAAATGAAAAAAATAATAATAAATTTTTTGAATGCCAGAAGAAAAAAAATTAAAAAATCACAGCGTATTCACGGAGTGATTGATGATGAGTGGGGTGAAGCGTCCGTCCGTGCATGCGTCTATGAATCCGATCGCGTTCGAGAATGCAGTTGGCGCGTGGGTAACAACGACGAGACGTGTGCCAAGGAAGCCGAGCGCAAGCGTCTTTAACGTGCCCGCCACTCTGCTTCGTTCATGCCCCACCAATGGTCCACTACGTATGGTGACTGTCCAGGAGACTGAGAGATCCACTCGTTCTATGCATACCCAGGCACAGCCCCCCCCATGCAGCCAATCGGAGAGTAGGGTACAGCGCCATCTAGTTATCTTTACCCAACTGCAGTTTCTATGTAATTCTTAAGAAAGCGCTGTACATTATACTGTTCGGCAAATACTGCCTTCTTTTCTTTCTCGTCTCTTCTCTCGGTTACGCGTGACGCTTGCACCATATCTAAGGACACAGTGAAAGATGAAACATCAGTACCAAAAGGACCTATTTGGTTTGCATTCTTTTATGATTTAGGAGAAGTATGAATATTTATAGCAATTTCATTTGGAAGTGTATTTATTAGGTGTTTGTGAGTGCGTGTAATGACTGAAAAAAAATTACTTTTGACGTCTCGATGTTTATGTCACAAT